GGGGTTTTTACCTGTAGTGAATGGAAGCAGTCCATCTGAAATGTTCCCGTAAGCCATGATACAATCTGTACATTTACTTATGCAAAATTTAGAGTGATTTAAGCAAGTGACCGCAAATGGTAGGTGTAGAGCAAGAACCATTTATGCAGTTAATGACCTGAGTATTTCAAATCTGGCGCGAAAACCTATGATCGCAAGGGCGCGTCCGGTGCGTTCCAGTCTGGGTTACCAGTTATGATTGGCTAACTTCCAGATTCTTCAGGTTGGCTTATCGAGCAGAGGAACTCTGCGACTAAGAATCCTAACCCTTTATTTTTTAGACTCTCCGTGGAGTCACGATGGTCTTTGCAGATAATTAATGTGAAAAAAGTACGCTATGAAAAAGCAGGCGCCAGTCAAAGCGATCGGGTGTGCAAATTTATGAGCGAAACGTTTCGAACACGCGAACCGGTTGTCTGTTCGCTGAGTACGCTTTTTGAAGTAACTTCCTGTATTCGATCACAGCGAAGTGCACACGCGCAGTTGTGGGCGATGTAGGCAAAAGTAATTTTCGCAGCTGAATGGAATAGTAAGGCCATAAAAAACTACACTGAAGTTCAGTCAGAAACTTCGAATCGTGAAGTTTAATGTGCTAGAAAAGCAGAAAATTAGAATCGCAGACTAAAATTTAAACTGTTAGAAAAAACAGCATTTGAAATCAAGCTACAATCCCAATCAGGCCACTGGTACATCGCTCACTTACTTTACGCTGGAGCACACATTTCAGTCGACTACATGTATGACCAAAACATGTTTTCAGATGCCAGTGAAAGTGATTTGAAGGACCTTTTGAATGAGCTGACTCAGGTCGGCATCTCTTCTGGGCATTCCTTTGTTGCCCTTCTGGACAGTGCTGTTGTTGGTGTAGCTTTAAACAGCACTACCGATGTGAGTGATGTCAGAGCCAAGCAGCAAGAGTTTACGCCCGTAAAAGACTATGGGCCAGGTTCATACATTTACAGTTTATTCTTTGTTCTCTTTTCAAATGTTCGTCCTAAGCGTATCACGCCGTTAATTTCCTCAGTTTTTACTATTCTTGAAATGCATTTGTTTTAATTACTTTCTAATTATGAGAAACAATTTTGCTTTTTTTTCAGAAATCTCTGGTGGCCATTATAGATCAAAGAAGGCGAATCAGCTGCGAGCATTTTTTGATGCTGTTGAAAGTGGTCTGAAACGTGGCATCGATAAGCATGATAACAAAATTTTCAAAATTAACGTTCTCTGTGTTCATGGAAGTGTAGCAGGGTTAGCGCACAGATTCTCATCTTTAGGATAAAATATTTGTCTTTTCACCTCTGTCAACAAAAGATGCGCTATGCCTGTTCTCTTTTAATCAGCAGCACATTACTGGCAAAGCTGACTCTAACTTGAGAAACAGACATGCGAGTCTTACGTATCTAAAGCGTGTTGGTTCGGGTTTTCTAGTTAGACTAGAGAGCAGAATGTGACTAACGGTTCTTCGATGACGAGCTCTGAAGCGCAGCCACTGTCGTAAACGGCGCCTCTTTTTGAAAATTGTTGTGAATTGAGAGAAAATTGAATCACTGCTCTTTATATCCGGCGTGCAACCTGTTGCGCTACCAGCCCTTGCGCTTTAGGATCAGTCTGATAGCATATCTACCGCATGCAAAATACACCTTTTTCTTGCTTGCTTCCTATAAGCAGTATACATCTTTTTCTTCGTGTCCTTTTTTTCTTGGCCAGCTTTTCGCAGGATTTCCGTTATATCCACTCCGTCAGACTGTAGCACTCCTATGTCACCTTCAAAAACCATCGCACAAAATTATTGTTATACTGTACAAACACATGATCACACTCTTGGGGTTTAGCCGTTTATTCAGAAACGGTATCGGAGTTTTGTAGAAAGCACACTTTTCAAGAATTGCGGGGAAATTTTTTTCAGATCGGGAGTGGAGCTTCAGTTATTGGAAAAATCAGTGCAGGAAGCGAAACAACTCGGCTGCACTACTGTAGCGTCCCCTGTCACTGCGTCTGCATCACAACGACTTTTTTCCAGAGTACTGTACTTTTGTCTACCGCATTTAACGTCTTATAATCTGTACCTTCAAAAATTAATATTGCTTGAAAAAAGTAAAATGATACACGAACTAGTAAACAAATTTCATAGGGTCTCATGCATATTTCGGGAAACCAAGCCAATAAAATTTTTTTTCTTCAGCTTGGATTTTATTGCATCCGTGAAGTTCCTTACTTCTGCTTCCGAGACAATCGACAAGTTGTATTCGAAAATATCACCGATGGAAGTGTCGCTGGCAAAATGATGACACTCAAGCTGCATGAAAAAGCTTAAAATGATCGTGTTAAAACTGAGCATTTCGAAAAGGTGATTAAAACATCATTTAGCATTACTGCTTCCTCGCTCTGAAAATATCTGAACTGTATGCTGTACTTATCGGAAGTAGACCAAAACAGGAACAAGTGCGCATCAAAAACTGTTTAGAAATAGACAAAAACAAATTAGAAGTGCATCAAAAGCAGTCATCGATAAAGTATAAAAAAGACGAATTAAAATCATATCGAAAGTAAACGCCTATAACTGATCAACAAGATATCGAAAGTAGATGAAAAGTAATGTGGCATTGTTAACAAGCGACGCAGCGTCTGTGGTGGCGTGAGTTGGGGTGTTTAGTAAAAATGGCGATGGTCAATGACGAACCAAAAGCGATGTATGTGCGCTGGTTGACCGGCCAAGGTAGAAAAAATACTTTTTGTTTAACTCAGATGCTCATTTATGTGCAGCATTAAAGTCTAATGAGGTAGGCTGGTGAAGAGGTTACTGAATTCTGCGATGCATGTGATGAATGTGAGTACTCAGGATGCTAAACCTGCCTTAGTTTCTTGAAAATTAGTGGTGTCATGACTGAATTTCTTCTCGTCGTAGCCAATGGCTTTATTGCAGCAATGTTGAATGTGATTTTTGAGACGATAGAGAGCACGATGCAACATGAAAAACAGCTTCTTAAAAGACTTATTAGCTGCTACTATAAGTCAGTAAACGCATGAGTTTTATGAGCGTGGAGCTAGCGCAAATTCTGGGGACGTGCTTTTTCTGGGAGTCAGTGGGCTAGCCAGCTTTAGCTAAAATTGGCTAAGTGATAATGTGTTCACCAAGCAGCTGCTGAACAGCCACACACCTGGGGATCTAGGGACTGTTAAAATAACCCAGATGCTGTCTGCAAGCCTTAATTCTTCATTTCGAAGCATATTAAACTTTTACAAATAGTGATATTGTTTTCGAGGTCTTGTAGTGATCACGTGATTTTTTTTTCCTGTTTTTATGAAAAATCTCTTTCTCAAGCCGACTAGATCTACTCCAGTCCATTTCCATTTGCAACACTGTCGGCATTCTCCATCCACGATAATCAGACATGCCAGTAAGCTGAAATTTCATCATTACAATAAACACTGATTTAGCTGATGGCCCTTTTCCAGAACTGAACGAAAAGACCCACATGAACATTTCCAACACGATGCAGATATCAAATCATGAAGCAATGTACTTGTATTTTTAGTACGATGCTGCCGTAAAAAGCCGTGTAAAAATGCATATCATTCCTACAGATGAACCAGGTGCGGATAGCTAATATAGCTAATATATTTTAATGCTCGCTTGAGTACACTACTCGCCATTTTGCCATGTTGTTCGTCATGAGCGCCATTCTGATACGCAGCTCCAATGTTGGAAAGGAAAGTAAGTTCTTCCGCCCGGTAGATACTACTTTTGTACTAGTCAAATTCAAGTTCAAATTTCCTATCCCCTTCCGCTTATTTAAAAGACAGACAGAGGCATTCGAAAGTGATCTGACTGGTTAGAGCAGCACCAATTACCAGATAGAAAGGCTTTGCGGCTTTCTTTCCACTGCGTGTAGAAATGGCATTTGCAGTTCCCGTACTGTACCTCAGAAAAATTTATTATTAGAGTATAAATTCATCAGAAAAAGAGTATACGCATTCAATACGCCCTGAGACTGCCTATTCATGTGTGGACAAAAGTTTATCTAAAAGTCAGATGGACATCCGGAAAAAGGCTTCAATTATACGTTGGTAGTGCCTCAGACTATTGGCCCATTTACTCATAGACTCAAACAGAAACACACGCATACACAAACACACACGCGCACATATAAAAGATCAAGTTGTTCAAAGGGTTACTGAAAATATATTTTATCAGACTCTTATGCGAAACTTATGGCGGCCAGAAGCCTCAACGATAAACGTAGATATAAACATTTCATCAAAAACAGTATTATCATTCAATGGCACCAAGACTGTTAGCATGGAATTGCCGATGTTACTGAACTGCAGGAGAACCATAACACATCTGTATCATTCCTTTCAGTTGTGCCACATTTATTCCAGCCACAGTCGGCTATGTCTTTCCACATCTGCTCTCCCATTATTCCATTCACTTTCCGAAGACACTTGGAACTAGCCCGAGTGGTAGCAGATGCAAACAGCAGCCATTCGTTGTCAAGGCTGTCGACAGCTTCCTCCCTTCAACGATCGCTTGTAAGTAAGCTAATAGCGGACTGGATTTTCTGGCAAATGTCAGTACCAATTTACCACTAAAACGGATCGCAGAGGAACTAGTTGTCCTACTGAAAGTCAAACCTTCGATCTATTACACACAGCAGTGCTACCCCACTGTGTCGTGTCTGCCGGCATTCCCAAGTACCAATCTTTAACAAATGACGCAGCGGCAATTATGATTACAATAATAGCTATCCGTAACGAATGATCACTGTTTATTTCTTGCTGCGAACACTCATTGAACGCGTAAAGCCTGGCTCCATTCGTGATCTAAAAAAATCTTCCAGTTACATTTAGATTGTTTCTATTAAGTGATCAAATTTTTGTTTTTTTTAAAATACGCCTTTGCGTGTATGCAAATGCAGCTCAGATTGCAGCGCACCAGGCTTGTCGATGCGACCATACATTTTTGTGCTAAGTTTGAAAATCGCTAACAGCAGGAATGGTCCCTGCGCTTTACTTTAACACTTAGACTCATACTGGCTGTGTTTGGCCTCTTTCCGCGTACAGGCGGAAAGGGTGCCGATTGGGACGAAGGTGTTGCATTACGAGGTAGCACGGACCACCAGAGTACATGCTTATCAGCTTTTTGCATGAAGCCGGGTCGTTTTTTCAGTGAATGCTCGTTCATTGAATCCCAGGCCGGAACGCACCAGGCTCTCCGGTACGAACATGCGTTTTTGCACTAAACTTGCAGATCGCTATTAGCAGAAATGATTGAAACCCAGGCTGGAACACTGTAACCTAACACTTGGGCTCATATTACCCGTGCTTTGGTCCTTTCCGGTATGCAGGAGGAACGGTGTCAGTTGGCGCGAAGGTGGTGCATTATAGAGCAGTACGGACATCCAGGTGCATGGTTACCGGTTTTTTGCATGAAGTCTTGCCGTTTTATCGGTAAATGCTCGCTTTGTGAAAAAATGGCAAATGCAAATTTTTTGAAAAAATGCAAATTTCCAG